CATTTTTTTTACAGGAAAACTCCCATATTTTAGGCCCCAAAAAAAATATCAAAAAACCAAGTATACAGTTTTTCTTGGAATTGTTCTGAGAGTATACAAACTAAGTTTAAAGTTAATCAGATGAAAACTGTAGATTTTTCATACAAACGTTGGAGCCTGTTTTCCCCCTTTGGAGCTCGAGTTTTCCAAAATCCCTTCTTAGTGGGGACCTAGACTTCGAAAGGATACTTGAGAAATTTCAGCTTCCTAGCCCTTACCGTTTGGGCTGTGCGTTGATCACCAATCAGTCAGTCAGTCAGTCAGTCAGTCAGTCAATCAGTCAGTCAGTCAGTCAGTCAGTCAGGACAAACTGTTTTATATATATAGATGCTAAGTAAAACGCAACGCTTTGCTCTTTTGTCTGATTCTGCATTCTTTGCTTGTTATACTCTGTACATGAAATGTACAAGAGTATACATATTAGGTTTGCGCAAGCTGAAAATTGTAACAGGCAGAAGGAGGCGTGGCAGACCCCACAAAGTATATATATTCTTGATCAGCATGACAAGACGAGATGCCTTATATGTGTACGCCCTATGGGGGTTTTCCCGATTTTCCATTCGTATAATCGCCTATATCTCGGAGACTATAAGACCTAGGAACACCAAATATTAGTCCAAGATGCCTTATGTGAGTACGCAGAAAATGTATATTTTGGAATTTCCCTCCCTCCCCTCTCTCCCACGCAAATCGTAACTCCCGTAATTCTTAAAAATTTCGAACTCAAATTTGGGAAATACCCCCAGTTAGTCATTATGTGTCCGTATGCCACTATGATAGACCGATTTAACAAGAAGTTATATCCATAAATATATTTGCCGCTCCAGCGCTGCCCGAACCTGTTGTTGATGCTGATGCTTTGGTTGACTGCAAACATGCTTACACAGAAACGAATAGACGCGCATAAACATACATACACTCACATAGACGCAATTGCTTTTTATATGAGCAAGTATACACCCTTTACGTGAGTTCGAATACTGAGAGAGGTAAAATCGATCGAAATTTTTTTTAATTTTCTTAATTTTTTTAATTTCTATAATTATTCTAAGCATATGTACAGAGTATTTCAAAGTCGGGACACCCGACTTTAGCTTTTTTACTTGTTCTCTCCAATGCCTGCACGCCTCTTTTTTTTCTCGCTGCTATTTTTACTCAACTACCTTTCATTGATAGACGCATTGTAGTACATACCTTAGAGCTTTGCTGAATATATGGCATACTCGTATCATCTTGCCTTGCAACATCGATTTTAATTTTGGCTCATCAAAAATGGTCAAATCAGCAAATAAAATCCACATCATTTTTATACCCTGTACCCGTAGGGTAAAAAGAGTACATTAGGTTTGTGCAAAATATGTAACATGCAGAAGGAAGCATCTCCGACCCCATAAAGGATATATATTCTGAATCAGCATGACGAGAGAAATTGATCTAGACATGTCCGTCCATCTGTCCGTCCGTCTGGATGAACGCAAGGATCTCAGAAACTATAAAAGCTGGAACAACCAAAGTTGGTATCCAGATTCTCCTAGGTCCGAGAAAGGACGAGTTTATTTATTTTTTTTAAATTTCCCCCCTTCACCCCTACAGAATTTCGTCATCATCCATCCACATTTCAAATGCTACCTAAACCAACCTTTGCACACAATATATATAATTATCTACTGTTGTATAAATTTTATTCAATTCGATTAATTCTAAGAAAAGTTATTACCAAACAAAATTCTCGCCAGTACAACCCTTCCAAACTGCAGCAACAAGTTCGCTCTTCTTCTTCCTCTTTTTGGGTCTGCTATGGGCGCATATACCTCAGTGTCGGAAGTTTACCTGGGTACAGGGTACTGTCGGGCTTGCTCGACTGTTGCGTTCTCTATACATTATATTTTCTTTCAAAAAATGTTGTAAACATGGGAAAAGATGAATACTGTGCAGTTATGAGCTATTTGTTTTTGGAGGGCAATGCGACGATAGGGACGCTTCCCCACCAATCCGGGAAGATCAAAAGATGCTACTAATGGCGAAAACATTACCAAAATTCAGAGAATGATTCGGGTCGAGCTCCGAATCAAAGTAAGACAGATAGCTTAGAATACCAAGATGTTTAAAGACCGCGTTTGCCATAATTTGAACAACGAATTTCACCTGAGAAAGATAATTTTCGATTAAAAGCGTGTTCGAATGGACTTTTGCAAGTCTCGATATTGCAAGTGGCGATGTTGCAAACGGCGATGTTTACGCGTCGGAATCTTTATTTCTTGAGCTCAAAGTTGATCTTGGGGGAGAGAAACTTTCATCAAATGGAAAGGCTATTTACCTAGGGACGCAACCATTTTGAGGAGTGGAAAAAACTTTTGGAACGCTTTGTCGTTAGGAGAAATGTATTGACTTAAGCCGGCCATCTACGCGCGAATTTGTTCGTCGAATTTTGTCTTTCGGAGGTATTTTTTCGTGAAGAATAGAAATGTTTCTATCTGTTTCTAAGGTCTGTTCGAACACGTTTGACAATAGATTGCATTGTTTGCATGAACGTCATTTGTAAAAAATACTATATTTGTGGACTAAGTCAAATTGAGCTACGCATTACATATTGCTCGAATTCACTGAATGTTTCCAAAAGGAGCCATCCATGAAAACAAGAAGAAGACTATTAAAAATAATTTTTTTTATATATGCAAATTTAGGAAAGTTTAAAAACTCACAGACTAGTAATCATTTAGTTCTATTTTGCATGTATGTATGAATGTATGTATACACGAATGTAGTTGGTATGGCTAAAATCTTAATATGTGCAGATCAATGAAGAAATACATTGATAAATTTGAAAAAAAGCCTGACATGTAGTGTACTATTCTGCCAGCTTAGTGTTACAACGAATATTGAATGCTAAAGAACTGTGATTGCATCTAACGCTACTTCCCCAAAAGAGATTTTTTAAATTTTGCGAATTTACTTCTGCATTGATTCCTGCGTTCTATTAGTTTAATTTTCGAGAGATGTCAGATTCAGTTAGTTAAAGTTCTTTTTATTTACAACAAGTACAATATATGTATAACTAGAAGCATTTTTCGCGATCGTTCCAAACAGGCTCAACTTACTGTGAATTTGGTTTCTTTAGGTTTCTTTTATATGCAAATGTAATTCGTGCAAATACATAAATACATATACATGTATTTACAGTACACGATCGCATATACATATGTATGTACATATGTACTGTATATGCAAATACTTTCAAAATAGTAAGTTCAACGAACGACTTATGTATTTATTGCATAAGGTTTAATGAATTTGAAGTTCATTAACACCAACTACACATACGTATATATAAGTACATATGTATATATAGGTACAAATACCCACAAGGGTAAGTGCATGCAAATTTATATAACTTTTGGTGGGCCGGGCAACAAATACAATGTATTTTAATACGAGTGTAAATGTACATGTGCCTTTGCTCGAATACATACTTCTGAAGAAGCAAATTCACTTTCTTTTTATACCCTATAGCCGAAGGGTATAAAGGGCATATGAGGTTTTGGGTTAGGTATGTAACAGGAAAAAGAAAGCATCTTCAACCCCATAAAGTATATACGTATATTCTGTCCGTCTCTTTCGATGAAGCCTAGATCTAACTTGGTATGTACATATGAAGGCTTTCCTAGATTATTAGATTTTTTTTGGTTTCCCCCTATCCCCGCTACAGACTCTGTAGTACAGAGTTACATTAATACTCTGTTCCAATAAACAAAACATTGCGTACGTAAATTATACATATGTAAGAGTATGTGTGCCTCTACCACTAATTAAATTTCATTCAAATCAGTTAATTCTAAGAAAAATGCGAATGTGCGAATGTGATCAGGGTGACAAGCCGAGTCAATATAGTCGTGTTCGTCTGTATGAGGATCTCAGAAGGTTGGAGAGCTAGAATTACCAAACTTGGTATCCAGGTTCCTCTGAGCACTGGAATTCTTGGAATTTTGAACTCAAATTTGGCATATATGTACATCCAGTTTGTGGTTCTTTGTCCGTATGCTAAGTTTCATCAAGAGTATATTAGGTCAATTTTATAGCCATAAACATAATCTCTGCCGAAGCTCTGCCCGCACCTCTGCCCACATCTCTGCCCGCACAGTTGTTGTTGTTGTTGCTTTGGTTCAATATTTGTGCTGTGTATAAACACGCAGAGACACGATTCTGATGTAAATGTATGCTGTTCAAACTGTACATGAACTTGTCTCCACTTTTGTATATACATACATAAATATTAATTTTTGTTTTTTTAATTTCTTACTTTTGGTGGGAGGTACAGGGTATTTAAGAGTTGAGTTCGCTCGACTAAAGCATTCCTTTCTTGTTTTGGTACAGGATATCACATTGTAGAGCTGTAGCGTTCCATCTTGTTTTTATACTCTGTACATGAAATGTACAAGAGTATATTAGGTTTGCGTATATATATTCTTGATCAGCATGACTAGACGAGTCGATCTAGATCTCTGAGACTATAAGAGCTAGAGATACCAAATTTTGCACAGTAATGCCTTATGTGTGTACGCAATACGAGTTTGTTTAGTTGTTGCTGGAACGGTTTCAACATTCAAGTGTAATATCAAAATAATTTTTCAATTGATAAAATATTTGAGGAATTTCCTATATCAAATAAAGCAAGCACGACGAATATTTGTACGCCTATTCAAAAATAAAGCTATATACGATTTTTAATTTCGCTCAGCCCTTAAGTTGTAATGCGTGGCAAAGTCGAAGACAATTTATGCAATTAATCGACTTAAATTACCTCGGAATGTTTGTGGTCAAAGTATTTACCATTTTGATTTCGTGAAGAATCCGTAATTAAGTAAAACATTGACTTAGCGCTTGTATATAAAAGCAACTTTATATGAATTTATAGGTTTAATTGCAGTTTGTTTTGCAATTCGGTTACACCAGCTCTTTGGGGCTCCGTCACAAATAACAGCCTGAAGCTACATAGTGAAAATTGTGATCTATTTAAAATAGTGCTACGGTAGAAGAAAAATATACTCCCAAAGACAATAAACATAAATCAGAAGCTTAAAAGTGCTTACAATGGCTGCAGAAATCGTGTTTAAAAAAAATCAGAAGTATTCTAGATCGCGTCCTGAAACTGACGGTGATGATATTGTAATTTCTGGAATGGCAGGAAAGTTTCCGAACTCAAGAAATATTGCAGAATATGAATACAATCTTTATAACAAGGTTTGTACATTTCCCACTTTCATTATTTATTTAAATTATAAGTTTTTCAATTAACCTTACGGTTGTTGTTCTTAAAAATAACATAATGGCGTGCCTTTGAATGCCTCAAGACCCGAAGTAATATTAAAAAAATGTATTTGTTCGATTATACATTGGATATTTAAACTCACGTAAAGGTTGCACATTTTCATAGAAATTGTGTCTATGTAAGTCTTTGCGTGTCCGTGTGTATGTAATACAGAGCTGAGCCAAAGCAGCAGCAACAACAACAGGTGGGCGCTGAGCTTGGCAGAGACTACATTTATGGCTATAGCTGCCTTTTAAATTGACCAATTATGATGAAACTTGGCACGGATACATAATCACTAACTGTAATAATCAAAATTTAAGTTAAAAATTCCAAGAGTTATGAAATTATGAAAAATCGCTAATTGCGTGGGAGAGGGGGAGGAAGGAAAATTCCGAAATACACATTTTCTGCGTAATTCACGTAAGGCATTTTGGACTACAATTTTATGTCTCTAGCTCTTGTAGTCTCCCAAATATAGGTGATTATAGACGTAATGTGTATATCAGGGGTGCCAGAGAAATCTCTGGAGGTTTCGCCTACAGTTGCTTTTGAAAAGTCTCAAAAAATACATCAGTGCCACAGAACTTCGAAAGATTTCATTTTTTCGAACTTCCCCTCCAAGCTGTCAGCAACAGCTGCCTGTCGTAATCAAAACTCCTGGCAAAGCAGACTAGGCTTGAAAATTCAAAAGTGATTTCTGTGGCACCGTGAATTGGTTTTGAGGCCAAGCTTGGGCGGAAGACATTTCTGTGCACCCCTGTACTTATATACAGTTTTAAAAACAAGAGAGAACGCTACAGTCGAGCAAGCCCGACAGTGAAATACCCTGTACCCAGGTAAACTTCCGACACTGAGGTATATGCGCCCATAACAGACCCAAAAAGAGGAAGAAGAAGAGCAAACTTGTTGCTGCAGTTTGGTAGGATTGTACTGGAGAGAATTTTTTTCGGTAAAATTCCAAAAAATAAAATAATCTCGTCCTTTCTCGGACCTAGGAGAATCTGGATACCAACTTTGGTAATTCTCGCTTTTATAGTTTCTGAGATCCTTTCGTTCATCCAGACGGACGGACGGACATGTCTAGATCGATTTCTCTCGTCATGCTGATTCAGAATATATATACTTATGGGGTCGGAGATGCTTCCTTCTGCATGTTACATACTTTACATACAAACCTAATATACCCTTTTTACCCTTTTACCCTTTTTACTCTGTACCCAACAGGGTATAAAAACCACGATCAAATGATTAACAATCTAAAATGTATATTACAAAATAGTTATACTTATTTGAAACAAGAATTGCGTCAATTATATATTTTTAATAAAACTTTCGTTTAATTCGGCAAAATGTGATGTTTAAAAAATGTAATTTTCTTTTTGAGCCAAGGGGGCATCTCTATTGCTTGCAGCATGCGTGTGAACGCTAGTGTTTATAGCCTGTACCCAAAGGGTAAATGGCTATATTAGTTTTGTGCGAATGTATGTAACACACAGAAGGACGAGTGGCAGACAAAGTATGCATATATATTATTGATCAGGATGACAAGTCGAGTCGATATAGCCATGTCCGTCTGTCCGCCCGTCTGTATGAGCGCAACGATCTCAGTAAGTACAATAGCTAGGATAACCAAACTTGGCATTCACGTTACCCTAACCCCTAGGCAGATCGAGTTTGTGTTTTTTCCCACTCCCCCGCAATTCGTGTTTCCGTAACTCCCGTTAGGAATTTTGTAAGCCATGTTTCATTACAATAGGTTGATTAAGACGAAAGTTATAGCCATAAATATTAACTCTGCTGAGGCTCTGCCCGCAGAAAAAATGGCTTTGTTAGTGGCAAAACAAACGAGATTTGAAAGATTTGAAAAAAGGACCCGAGAATTGGTTTTGAAGCGCAACTTGGGCGGAAGAGATTTCTGTGGCACCCCTAATACTCTTGTACTTTTTAGGTACAGAGTCTAAGGAGTGGCTTTTTAACGCACATATACAACATAATTTACAATCGGATAACAAGACACAATAATGATTAAACAAAAAGAAGTATTAATTTTAAATACCTTCACAAACATATGCAGCTTCTACATTAAATTATTCTTATCTTAGATCGATATGGTAGATGATGATGAGCGTCGCTGGCGCCACTTTAATCCTGAAATTCCAAAACGGTCGGGCAAGATTAGTGAGCTCGAAAAGTTTGATGCCACATTTTTTGGCGTGCACTTCAAGCAGGCTCATACAATGGATCCGCAAACTCGCATATTAATCGAGACCGCGTACGAGGCGGTAATAGATGCTGGTATCAATCCGAAGACTATCCGTGGATCTAAAACAGGCGTATATATTGGATCTTGCATATCAGAATCGGAAAAAACGTGGTTTTATGAAAAAGTATCATCTGGTGGCTTCGGTATCACAGGATGCAGTCGTGCCATGATGGCTAATAGAATATCTTACTGCTTGGGACTTGAAGGACCTTCATTTTTGCTCGATACGGCTTGTTCTAGCTCCATGTACGCATTGGACAATGCGTTCAGTGCTATTAGGAATGGTGAGATAGACGCAGCAATTATAGGAGGATCAAATTTGTTACTGCATCCTTTTGTGACGCTTCAGTTTGCTCGGTAAGTTATATACACGTACATAAATAAATTTCTTTCTCATTTAATACACTCAAATTAATTTTCTTAGACTTGGAGTTTTGGCGCCAGATGGATACTGTCGTCCTTTTGATAAAGATGCTAGCGGCTATACCCGTTCTGAAACAATAAATTGTCTATTTCTACAAAGAAAAAGAGATGCGAAACGAGTATATGCAAGTGTGATTTATTCTAAAACTAACTGTGATGGATATAAGCCAGAAGGAATAACATACCCATCAGGAAAAGTGCAAGAAAAGCTGCTTGATGAATTTTACAAGGAGATTGATATTACTCCTAATGATTTGGGCTATTTGGAGGCACATAGTACTGGAACAGTAGTAGGAGACCCAGAAGAGTGCAGAGCAATCGATAATGTTCTCTGTAGTCAACGTGAAGAACCGTTATTAGTTGGCTCGGTGAAATCAAATGTCGGCCATTCCGAAGCGGCATCAGGCATATGTTCCTTAGTCAAGGCGTGTTTTGCTTTTGAGACGGGTTTGATACCACCAAATATTCATTTTACTGAGGCCAAGTCCGTAATTACTGCCCTTGCGGAAAAGCGGTTGATTGTTGTTGACAATACTATGCCACTTCCGAAGCCCTACATTGGCATCAATTCCTTTGGATTTGGAGGCGCCAACGCCCATGCAGTTTTAAAAGCACTCCCTAAGCCAAAAATAAATTTTGGTCTCCCCGAGGACGACGTGCCTCGAATTTTAGCCTGGGCGGGTAGAACAGAAGATGCCGTTAACGAGATTTTTAATGCCATAGAAAAGAGACCATTGGATGCGGAGTTTATTGGATTGTTACAAAACATACAGGAAGATGAAGTCTCAGGCATGGTGTTCCGTGGCTATGCGGTTTTCGAAAACTGTGGTGTGGAGCCAACAAAAGCATTAGTCAAGGATATTCAGCATTACACTGGGCTTAAGCGACCTGTTGCTTGGGTTTACAGTGGAATGGGATCCCAATGGAGTACTATGGGAGCCTCTCTTATGATTATACCCCGTTTCCGAGAATCTATCGAACTATGCCATAAGACACTAATTCCAAAAGGGATCGATTTGATTCATATAATCACATCAAACGATCCCATAATATATGAGAATATACTGCATTCGTTTGTTGGTATAGCAGCAGTGCAAATCGCCTTAACGGACGTCTTACGATCGCTTAGTCTTGAACCTGATTACATTATTGGCCATTCAGTTGGTGAATTGGGCTGCGGCTATGCAGACGGTGGCTTTACAGCTGAGCAAATGATTCTTGCAGCTTATTACCGAGGACGAGTTAGTGTAGATCTCGAGAAAATAAGGGGTTCTATGGCAGCAGTCGGTATTGGGTACAAACAAATAATACACATTCTGCCTAAAACAATTGAAGTGGCTTGCCATAACGGGTCAGATTCGTGCACTATTTCTGGTCCTGAGGAAGAAGTTGCGAAATTTGTTTCTGATCTAAAAGCAAAAAATATCTTTGCAAAAGAAGTACCTTGTTCTAACATTGCATATCACTCAAGGTACATCGCCCAAATGGGCCCACATTTGCTCAAGTACATGAAAGAGATCATACCAGATTCTAAACTAAGGACATCGAAGTGGCTCAGTACAAGTGTTCCCAAAAAAGATTGGGACCTGCCTGGCAGTAAACTTTGTTCGGCTGAATACCATACTAACAATATGTTGAGCAGTGTTCTTTTTGAGGAAACATTCCCATTGATTCCCAAAAATGCGCTAATTATTGAAATAGCACCTCATGGACTACTAGGTGCTATCTTAAAACGATCGGCGCCAGATGGTATTTATGTTCCCCTAACACAACGCGGAAATAAAAATAATGCCATTTTTTTTATGGGCGCACTTGGAAAGTTAGTTTTAAATTACTATAAAGTTTTGGATTAGTTTTAATGCTTTGTATATTTGCAGACTATACCAGAATGGAGTTATGGTTCCAATGTCTAAGTTGTACCCTAAAGTAAGCTTTCCAGTGTCACGCGGCACTCCCAGTATTAGCTCATTGATACGTTGGGATCACAGCGAAGATTGGTTTGTAACTAAATATGAAAATATGAAAACTAAGTCCAGTGGAGAGCGCGTGTTTTCTGTAAACTTAGCCAGCGATAATGAGGAATTTATGAGTGGCCATATAATAGATGGTAAAATCTTGGTACCAGCAACATGTTATTTGCAATATGTTTGGGAAACATTCTCACTTATGTATCATGGACCGAGTTACATGGATGTACCTGTAGAATTCGAAGACGTACGATTTTTGAGAGCTACAAATATGTCGGCAAATAGCGAAGTTGAACTGAATGTAATGATTCATTATGGTACTGGACATTTTGAGGTAAAGTGATAATACAAGTGCATTGGAAAATATCAATAAATTCTTTTTTTGATATAACTTTAATATTTGCATCAGATTACTGAGTCCGGCAGTCTTGTGGTCACAGGACAAATTAGAGAAATTGAAAATCCTACCATTCCCAAAGCTTACAGCTTTCAGAAAGAAAGTCAATTTCCTATGGTATCAAAAACGGGTTTCTACAAGGAGTTAAAGCTACGAGGCTATCACTACAATGGTGCATTTCGTGCGGTACATAAGGCCCGCTCAGATGGACTCTATGGAAAAGTGGAATGGAATTACAACTGGGTGACATTTATGGATGCAATGCTGCAGATTCATATTTTAGGTACAGACTCCCGTTCCTTACTGCTGCCAACTAAAATACGAAAGCTCCGAATAAACGGTGTCCACCACTTCAACTTAATGGCCGAAATGGATCCGGAAAATCGCGTTTTTGACGTGTATGTAGATCACAAGTACGATCGTATTATTGCCGGGGGTATTGAGCTTATCGGGCTTCACGCCAGTCCGGTGCAAAGGCGTAGACCGCCCGGTGTCCCTGTATTGGAGAAAAATGAGTTTGTCCCCTACTTACCAAAACAAGTTTTTGGACTGTCGGATGCAGTACGTATTTGTGTGCAGCATTCGCTCGAAAATACTCCGACGCTAAAAATGAAGATAATAGAAGTGGATACGGAAGGAAGAGACACAATATTGAGCCACTTCATAGATGCTATTGAAGACCTACCGGTAGTTACTGCGGACTACATGCTGCTAACGGATAGAGAATTGGGAGATATTCCTGGCGTTCATACCGAAAATGGCAAACTATCGACTCAGTCTAATTGTCATTTCGTCATAGTAAGCGGACTTTTTGAAGGATTTAATGGAGAGGATGTTATAACCGCACACAAAGTACTCACTGACAGCGGTTACCTTCTCGTCAGAGAAAGGAATTGTTTAAACATGAATGCCTTGAAAATACCAGAGAAGTTTCGATTAATTTCTGCCATTCCGCTGGAAAATAACGAAGATGTTATTATACTCTTGCAGAAAGTATCGAAATATATAAACGTAGAACCTGTTTTGGTTGAAGTGTCTGAAAACGACAACAATTTTGAATGGATAGTTCAGGTACAATCAGCCATGTCCACAAAAACACCAGTGGTAATATTTGCATTCAATGAAAAATTAAGTGGTATATTAGGCCTGGTTAATTGTTTGCGGAAAGAGCCTGATGGTAACTTGATTTCTTGTTTCTATATTAATGATGAAAATGCACCGAAATTTAGCCTATCTGATCCGTTTTACTTAGATCAATACACTCTTGGGCTGGCAATCAACATTTATCATAATGTAGGTACATGATTGAGGTCTGACATATTAAATACTAATCCAATATACTTTTTTCAGGGATCTTGGGGCAGTTTTAGGCATTTAAAATTGCCAATCGTAGATGAATTAAAGCCCAGGTTGAATCACATTTATGGCAACGTAGTACTACGAGGAGATTTATCCTCACTTCGTTGGTTTGAAGGGCCACTTTATCCAGATGATTGCTTGATTAAGGTGGCATACTCTTCATTGAACTTTAGGGACGTGATGCTTGCCACAGGGCGCTTGGCTGTAGAGCTATATGGTTCTACTAGGATGGATCAAAGTTGTGTACTTGGCTTTGAGTATTCTGGCATCCATACGAGAACGGGAAAGCGTATCATGAGCATGGTTGTTAAAGGTGGAGTGGCCTCTTATGTGGAGAAACCATCCAAGCTTATATGGGAAATTCCTGATAACTGGACTTTAAAAGAAGCAGCCACAGTTCCAGTGGTTTATATAACAGTATATTACGCGTTCTTTATGGCAACAGACATCCGGAAAGGTAAAACAATACTTATTCACGCTGGCACTGGAGGCATCGGTCTGGCAGCAATTCGCGTAGCATTGGCCTATAATTTAGAGGTATTCACAACCTGCAGCACGACAAAAAAAAAACAATTCCTATTGGAGACCTTCCCACAACTTAAAGGTAAAGAAAATGAATGACGCAGTATATTATATAAGATACATTCGTCTATCCCGAAGCTATATACTTTTATAAAAAAAAAACTATTTTTCATACTGGACATGAATCACTATACATTAAATATACAAGAGTATATTAGGTTTGCGCGAGCAAAAAAATGTAACAGGCAGAAGGAGGCGTGGCAGACCCCACAAAGTATACATATTGTTGATCAGCATGACAAGACGAGTCGATCTGTCTGTCCGTTTGTCTGTCCGTATGAACACCTGGATCTCAGAGACTATAAGAGCTAGAGACACTAAATTTTGCACAAAAATGCCTTATGTGTGTACGCTGTGCAAGTTTGCTTTATTTACCCGATTTTCCATTCGTATAATCGCCTATATCTCGGAGACTATAAGAACTAGGGACACCAAAGTCCAAGATGCCTCTTATGAATACGCAGAAAATATGTATTTTGGAATTTCCCTCCCTCCCCCTCTCCACCGCAAATCGTAATTTTCTCTAACTCCCGTAATTCTTGGAATTTCGAATGTGGCAAATACCCCCAGTTAGTGATTATGTGTCCGTATGCCAAGTTTCACTATGATAGATCGATTTAGCAGCCATAAATATATTTGCTGCCCAAGCGCTGCCCGCAGCTGTTGTTGATGCTGGTGCTTTGGTTGACTGCAAACATGTTCACACAGACACGCATAGACGCACATAGGCATACATACACTCACATAGATGCAATTGCTTTGTAAATGTGCAATTATACACCCTTTACGTGAGTTCGAATACCGAGAAAGGTAAAATCGATCAACATTTTTTTAAAATTTTATTATTTTTTTTAAATTTCTATAATTATTCTAAACATATGTAAGAGTATTTCAAAGTCGGGACACCCGACTTTAGCTTTTTTACTTGTTATAACAGATATACATGTATGTACTGATTTCACATGGTCTGACTCTACACTTAGTATTATTATTATTATTACTTCTGTGCTATTGACAGAATCTCACATTGGAAATTCGCGAGACACATCATTTGAGTTGATGATCCAGCGGGAAACTGATGGCAAAGGTGTCGATTTTGTACTTAATTCCTTATCAGAGGACAAGTTGCTGGCTTCAATCCGTTGCCTGGGGCAATCAGGACATTTCTTAGAAATCGGTAAATTCGATATGGCTAACGATAGCAAACTTCCTATGGGCTGCTTCCTTAAAGAGCTCACTTTTCACGCTGTACTCGCTGATACCTTACTCGTTGCGTCCGACGAGGAGATCTGGGTAATTGCTTGTTATATTGGATCATTGATCTAGGACAACTAATCAAAATATCTTACAGCACTTAAAAAAATTAATTGATACGGATATTGCCAGCGGCATTATTCAGCCACTGCCTGTAACTGAATTCCCTGCACATGAGATAGAGCAGGCATTCAGATATCTAATTGGTGGCAAGCACATTGGCAAAGTAGTTATTCAAGTGCGCGATTATCCAGATGCGCCAGAAACACTTCCTGTGCGAGTTTTAAAGCAAGTGTATTTTAAGCCGCATCTCAGTTATATAATACCAGGCGGACTTGGTGGGTTCGGAATGGAACTCGCAGACTGGATGGCCATGCGTGGTGCGCGCAAGTTAGTGCTTAGTTCTAGTCGCGGTATTACTAAGGACTATCAATCTTACAGAATCGCGTATGTATATATATATATTGATTGAATTTACTGAAATTACTAAATTTTTGATTTACTACAGACTTTGGAAGACCTATGGCTGCGAAATTTTAGTTAGTACTGCAAATATATCCACGTTGGAAGGCTGTCGTACCTTATTGCTAGATGCGGCCAAGCTAGGCCCCGTTGGTGGCATATTCAATCTAGCAGTTGTATTGCGCGATGCCATATTTGCTAACCAAACTCCAAATCAGTTTATAGAAAGTTTCGCTCCCAAGGCTGTGGCAACTAAACTACTTGATACCCTCTCCCGCACATATTGTCCCCATTTGGAGCATTTTGTTGTGTTCTCCAGTGTCTCCTGCGGCCGTGGAAACGCAGGTCAATCAAATTATGGCATGGCCAATTCGATTATGGAGCGAGTTATTGAAAGCCGTGCTATAGCCGGCTTACCAGCTAAGGCTATTCAGTGGGGAGCTGTGGGCGAAGTCGGACTTGTTGCAGATCTGGCAGAAGAGAAAATCGATATGGAAATTGGTGGAACATTGCAACAAAGAATATCGTCTTGTCTACAAGAGCTTGATACATTGCTGACTGTTGAAGCACCAATTGTAGCTAGTATGGTAGTTGCTGAGAAACGGCTTGGACGCTCGGGAAATGAGAGCATAATTGACGCGGTAATGAATATCATGGGCATACGGGACCTGAAAACAGTATCTTTGGGAACAACTCTGTCCGAGATGGGCATGGACTCACTAATGGCTGTAGAAATTAAGCAGACTCTCGAACGAGACCATGAGCTATCTTTGACACCACAAGATCTGCGCTCTCTTACATTCCAAAAGCTGCAAGAATTTTCCGAAGCCAGGGAGAAAGAAAGCACTGATGCAGTCAAAATGATATTTGCTTCCGAGAGTAAGCTGCTTGGTATGGACCTTTTACTACGAAACTTGGGTGACGAAGCAAACTGTAATGAAGTAATGGTTGCGCTTAAAACATTGGCACCTTCAGCAAAACAAAGTGTTTCACCAAATATAATAATTCCCGGATTGGAGGGTACGGCTGGAGAAGCATGGTATAATATTGGAAAAGCTTTACATAGTAGGACCAATGTATTACAGCTGCATCAATTCGCTGCGTTGGAAAGTGTAACTGATATTGCTAATAGCATATTAGAGGTAAATTAATATTATAATATTTTTTAAAAGTTACCTAATATTGTAAACCTTATGCAGAGTGTGAAGAACCTTTTGAAACCTTCTGATCCTTTTTATATAATTGGATATTCATATGGATCTTTTGTGGCTTTACAACTGGCTGCACTGCTCGAAAGCTTTGGTTTTCGGGGTCATATCATGTTAATAGACGGTGCACCCCACTTTTTGAAGAAGCTTACTAATCTTCATCTTGGTGAAAACTTTACCGACGCTGACTTGTACAACCTGCTTTTTTCAAGCATTGTCAATCAAATCTTTCCCGAGCAAACGAAAGAGTCAGCCGCTTTGATGTTCAGCAAGCTTCCTTCTCTAGAGGAGAAAATGGGTCTATTTATGCAGTTCGTCGATAAACAGCATATATATAGCAAAGACTACTCTAAAGTAATGGTAGAAGCTATGTTCCGGAGGGTTAAAATGGTTGCCAACTTTGATTTGACAAGCGTTCCGGTTTTAAAATCTCCAATTACTCTTGTCCGCCCTGCAGAAGTTTCACTTCAAGACATCGAGGAAGATTATTGTGTTTCTCAGCTAACTTCTGGAAAGGTAGTGCTCAAAGTCATCGAAGGTAATCATACCACCATGCTGGACAATCCTGTTCTGTCTCAGTTAATAAACGATTTTGATCCCGCACTCCTGGATGACAAAAACTTTGAGCAATACATTCGAGATGTTAAAGCAGTTTCAGTAGTTTAGAATTTAATTAAATGTACTAAATTAAGACAGAATCCGAGTCAATTTTTATACAAACTTGAAATAACTAGATATTTTTAAACTACTTATAAAGAACAATTTTAAAGTAAATTTAAAAATCTATGTTCGTTATTTGGCCTAAAAATGACAGCGTAAAATATAATACAAACGTATGATATAAAAACCACGTTATTATTGTTTGATTGGAACAGTGAATTTTCACTCTAAGTTGAAGATAAATTTACCAATAACAATGATATTATCATTATATGTGTATATCATATTATAGAAAAGACATTGAATTAAAATCGACGGAATAGTGAATTCTCAATAGAAGTAATTAAAAACAAGAGAGAACACTACAGTCGAGCAAGCCCGACAGTATAATACCCTGTACCCAGGTAAACTTCCGTCACTGAGTTATATGCGCCCAAAGCAGCAGCAAAAAGAGGAAGAAGAAGAGCGAACTTGTTGCTGCAGTTTGGGGGGGTTGCACTAAAGAGAATTTGTTTCGCTAATAACTTTTCTTAGAATTGTCCGAATTGAATAAAAAAAATTAAAAAAAAAAAAATTAAACAACAGTAGATAATTATATATAAATTATGTGTGCAAAGTTTGATTTAGGTAGCATTTGAAATGTGGAGGCTATTGACGAAATGAAATGTGAGCTTAAGTATCCTATCATAGTGTAAGAGAGCACTAAGAAGGGAGCTTGAATTTTGTGTTATAAATTTTATGCGATCGATTTAAAATTTGGGTAATGTAATCTTCGTAACTAAATTGACAACTTTGCATTAAGGGATTTTCAAATTTTAGAAATACTGTTCTTGCTTTACAAATGCAGGCAGAACAAACAACATAAAATGCATATCACACAGTTGGGGACAACTTAGTATGCATACACACACACATATACAAGCAGCTGTTCGTGTAGTTGCGTGCATGTCAAGAAATATTAAAAGTAATTTTTTTTGTTAAGTACATTTGGCATTATTTATTTATTATTTAAACGCATTGTGCATTTTTTAATCAAAATTATAAAATTTTTGGACCCCCTTTTGAAAACCTGCGTACCCCCTTGGCGGACTACACATACGGTTCTCTACGTACGGTTAAAACAGTAAAGAGAAACAAAACCCATGGATGCATATGTACATATGTATGTACATTGGCACGCTCCTATTCTTTCGTTCACATTTTTTTTATCATCTACTCCTTTTTATTGCACCTGCAAAATGCCAAAAATTTACAGTTACCGTCGCTAGGCAACGACTGAATAAGCGAAACTCATACATATGTATATGATTTGTTCTAATTGAACTCAATAAATTATAATATGTTATTATTTAGATATTCTGTTTATTGCATTCAAACTTCGATGTATCGATAGTATCGGTAGATTCAGCTATCGAAAGTTGTACTCTAGGAAATTGAAATGAGAAGTGTCAGTGCTTTTTGATCGTGGCTCATCGCTGCACGGCATTGACACGAGTGCCGTGTTTCATATTCCGAGATCGTGCGTGATCGTATTGACACAATAAGGCACGAAAAGATACAAATTTAATATTAGTATATACTCTTATAAAGATGCGTTATCTCTATATATATATATATATATATATCAAACAGATTGTCCTGAGTGACTGATTGATTGATGATCAACACACAACCCAAACGGTAAAAGCTAGGAAGCTGAAATTTGGAGTCAAGTGTCCTTTCATAGTATCCATCACAGTGTAGGTGCGCGCTAAGAAAGGCTTTTGGAAAATACGAAATATTTTGGCAAGAACCAAAATGTAACAGACTACTGAATAATATTTTGTCAAGAGCAGAAAATGTTCATTTGAATACCTAAAATGCCTACCTACTGGTAATTAATAAGGTGAAAATATATGGGTAGGTCATGCACACACACAAAATAAGTACAATTTGAAGTATAGTATTATATTGAGCCGGGCTAAGACGGGCAATACCTGCTAGTATTCATATATGTATGTATATATGAATATGGAAAAAACACGATTAGCGGAGGAGTGTGGGGGTGCATCAGAAAAAAAACACAAATTCATCCTTTCTCGGACTTAAGAGAAATTACCAAATTTGGTTATTCTAGCTGTATTGCGCAGAGCCGGACTGGTGCGAGGATAATAAAACGCGACAAAGTTTTGTGGATGAATGGACAACGTCGATAGCTCGACGGCTTTATTTATATATAAATTCTTATCCTAGTTCTTATGCTATCGTTTACATACTATTAGCGATTTCTTATCTTCTACGATGTGTGCGTACTTTGTCAGGTAGCTCATGTTAGCCAGCCGCAGCATGCTCATCCGGCGCGGTGGCGAGTCTGAGCTAATGATTTGTGTACCTACACATCCTTATCTATTGAGCTGGCATCTGCTAGCTACGAAAGGTTGATGTTATGTTCGGCATCTGAGGCCGAACTCATTATTATTTAAGTAAGAGAGCATATCTGAGTATCCTATCGAGTTTATATCTCTAAGAATGTGATAATCTACCATTCGTGGTCTAGACGGAGCAAATCTAGCTTATTTACGTTTATTTAGAACCTCGATAGGATTGAAAAAGCTCCCCACCTTGAAAGGACTCCCTTTCAACTAGTTAATTAATCCTTAATGTGTTTACGTTTAATTGTACATGATGATATATAATTTTTTAGTTTTTAGGATAAGCGTGGTAAGGTAAATGTTACATGGCACATCTTTTTAAATATGATTACGATCGCCACGATTAGACCAAATCCGACAATCCAGGAGGTGATACTGATACCATAAAGTGCCATTTGATGTTTATCAAGATGAATAGGGAAATCGAAGATTGTTTTGATCATTTCACTTCACCCTCTACCTGCATGTGGCTTATTTCAGGCAACTGGCTGGGCAGATTTACTGTTGGTAGAACGAAGTTGTCGTCCATTGAAGCATCTTCGTATGCCCACAAGTTGGCTTCTTCGGTATGTAGGAAGCATCCCAGTAATAAGCTGAAGGATCCCCTCACCACATAAGGTGAGGCTTGTGTCATTTTCCTTGCAATGCATTTCCGCTGTTATTTTATGTGGCAGTAAAAATATCCAGGAATTAGCCTTGTGAAGTTGACCCAATAGTTGCGAGGGTTCATCACGTCTACTTGGCAGGTAGGCGGCAGCGTGGTTTTTTTTAGTAAACGCATTAGTCGCAATTTGTAGCAGAGTTAAGGTTGTATATTGGGTGGATTCTAATGTATTTAATAACACACATACATACACCCTTCTTATTGATATGAGTTACTAAGAAGGAGTAAAATTTATTTTGGATATTATTATTTTAATGATTTTTTGTTAATTTTTAGATTTTTTTGTTATTATACTCTGTACATAAAATGTACAAGAGTATATTAGGTTTGCGGGAGCTGAAAATGTACCAGGCAGAAGGAGGCGTGGCAGACCCCACAAAGTATATATATTCTTGATCAGCATGACGAGACGAGTCGATCTAGCCCTGTCTGTCTATCTGTCTGTACGTATGAACACCTGGATCTCAGAGACTATAATAGGTAGAGACACCAAACTTTGCACAAAGATGCGTTATGTGTGTGCGCTGTGCAATTATTTCGCCCCACTTCCCCCCTATGGGGGTTTTCCCGATTTTCCATTCGTATAATCGCCTATATCTCGGAGACTATAAGACCTACGGACACCATATTTTAGTCCCACATGCCTTATGCGAATACGCAGAAAATGTGTATTTTGGAATTTCCCTCCCTTCCCCCTCTCGCCGGCAAATAGTAACTCCCGTATTTCTTGGAATTTCGAACTCGAACTTGGCAAATACCTCCAGTTAGTGATAATGAGTCCAAATGCCACGTTTCATAATGATAGGCCGATTTAACAGGAAGTATGTATATCTATATATATAAAACAGTTTGTCCTGACTGACTGACTGACTGACTGACTGACTGACTGACTGACTGATTGGCAATCAACGCACAGCCCAAACGGTAAGAGCTAGGAAGCTGAAATTTGAACACAAGATCCCTCTTATAGTGAAAGTGAGCACTAAGAAGGGGTTTCGGAAAATTCGAGCTCCAAAGGGGGAAAAACGAGCTCCAACGTTTGTATGAAAAATCTACAATTTTTATCCGATTAACTTCAAACTTAGTTTGTATACTCTCACAAAGAATACAAAAAAAACTGTATACTTGGATTTTCAATATTTTTCCTGCGGCCTGAATAATAATGATTTTCCGGTGGAAAATTCGGTAAACGAAAAGCTATGTGCAATCAACGCACAACCCAAACGGTTAGAGCTAGGAGGCTGAAAATTGGACACATGTTGTCTTCAGTGGTGTAGGTGAGCACTAAGAAGCGGTTTTGAAAAATTCGAACGCCAAAGGGGGGAAAACGGGCTCCAACGTTTGTATGAAAAATCTACAATTTTCATCCAATTAACTTCAAACTTAGTTTGTATACTCTCAAAAAGAATACAAGAAAAACTGTATACTTGGTTTTTCACCATTTTTCCTGGGGCATGAAAAAGGGGGGGTTTTCCGTGGAAAAATTGAAACACAATCAACACCCCACAGCCCAAACGGTAAAAGCTAGGAAACTGAAAGCTGGGCTCAAGTATCCTATCATGGTGTAGATGCGCACTAAGAAGGGATTTTGGAAAATTCGAGCTCCAAAGGGGGGAAAAGTAGCTCCAAAGTTTGTTTGAAAATTCTGCATACTCGGTTTTTCGAAATTTGTGTTGGAGCTTGAATTATTGGGGTTTTAATATTTATTCATTTTTTCAAATGAAAAGTTTGTGTTATAAATTTTGTCCGATCGATTTCAAATTTGGGTAATATAATCTACGTAACTAAAATTACAACTTTGCATTTAACGATTTTTAAAATATGCATTTTACAAATGCAGGCAGAACAAACAATACAAAATATCAAACAGTTGGGGACAACTAAGTATACATACACACACACATACATATATACAAGCAGCTGTTCGTGTAGTTGCGTGCAAACGGTTGAAGTAGCCAAAGCAAAATGTAAGACACTAATGTGTGAATGTTCATTTGTACAAATGTATGTACATATATACATACATACATATGTATAAAAGTACATTCGTCTTGCACTGACAGGGCAAGAAATGTTAATTAATTAAAAATTATTAACATTATAACA